AAAAAATACCAGCCATAAAGAAATCGATGTGCGCAAACGCTCTATGTTAGGTGAAAATTTCGCTTGACATAGAGTCGTCTTCGATAACTCTTTGTAAGGAAGCAGAGCTCGACGAGAGAACTGACTTTAAAATATCGAAAGACGACGCGTCCTGCCCGACTGACGAGTCTGTAAGGACGAAACACGTGTATCGGGATGTACAAGAGCCCTTCCCAGACCACATGACAAGTTGGCTCAAATAATAATGAAAGGATCTATTGAAATTTGAGCGTAATCTTAACAAAGCACTCGGAATAAAACTATAATATTTCATAATTATTATTTGAGCCAACATGTCATGTGGTCTGATAATGGGCCTCTTACCAGCCATATACCCAAGAGACATCTTGGCTCAATTAATAATTATGAGATATATTGAATTTTGGCGCTCTCTTGATGAAACACTCGAAATAATGGTATAATATGATTGACAGTTAGAAAGCTTCTTATTATATGCGAAGTAATCAAATCTGCACAGTTTGATCTTATCAGCGAACGCGCGTTACATAATGGTCGAAAACAGATACACTTTCTATAAATGTAATCCAAAAGAACGATAATACTATAGCATTACACCACCACTGAAAGTTGGTAGTATAAAGATTTTCTGTCTGATTATAACCCAAAAGAGGACTGGGTCGTTCTAAGAATTGAGAAGCTGTATATGTATACATTACTCTTACCGCGCGCTTAAATATAATAGAATTAGAACTTTTTTGCTACGGAGAAATTTTTTTCCACTCGATATCATAAATAGTTTAACAGTTACATTTCTCTCGTCGCCAATCCGTTGAACAACTGGGACTATCTAAGCATAGAAAAGTATATGAGATAAAATTTGAGTCCACTCTACATGAGAAAATTAAGGTGTTTTACCAAGTGAAACTAGCGAGAAAAATCTCAAAACCATAAATTTCACCAAGAGTGCCTTTAGGATGTTACAAAACGAAATAGTGGCTCTTCATCCAAGATCATTGTCTCAACTTCAAAACCATGTTTGGGCATTTCCCGGTATAAAGGGCAAAATGAAAAGCGACCTCATTCTCTAGACAGGAAACTCATGGGAGTTTCCATAACCATTTGGATGCTAAGACCTTTGGCAAAACCGGATTTCAAAAAAGCCTTCTTTGACATTGTTATGAGAGCAAATTTATTGCGTTACAGATTCGTTTTTCTCACTGGACAGAGCTCGTTCTTTATACTTTTAGTAATGATTCGATAGCGTAATCTTTGCAAATTCCATCGCTGTGCTTGTGTCCTGAAAAAGACCGTTACTCTGCAACCGCAGCAGGTAAAATAAGTTGAATCCGCATGTGCGATTAGGGTTCTTTGGCAAACTCACGTGCCGCTGAGTAAGGCGGCACATGAGCTCATACGGTGCCATAATACCGGTACAAAGATCGATCGTCTCGTTAACGCACGTTGCGAGACAGAAATCTAAGCTTTCGAACGATTACTATCACTCCTATGAAAAGTTCCTGTCCAGGGAATAAAGTCTGTTTTTCATTTGTCCTCTTAAAACCAAAAAGTACCCATCTTCTTTACTGTTTCCGTACACTATGTCCAACTCGCGGCACTTTTGGTTAATGGACTACCACATCTACCTTGAAATACTTTCCATACGCTGAAAACTGCAAAAAAATCATTTTCTCATAGCCCTAAAAAGTATGAAGTGACAAGAAAAATTCTTTTTCAACTTTTTTGACGGAAGGCTTGCAGGATATAGCTACATACTTTGCATTTTTGCCGGCTTTGTTGCACCTGTTTCAACAAATCTTATTCCCTCCAATCACTTCACTTTTACGCGCTTGTATAGCAATGTCGGTTTGAAAGTATTTCTAGTCAGCGCGAGTGCATTTTCTTCAACATAGTCAAAGATATGACAACATAGTCGAAGTTGTGACAAAACATATATTGTCATAAAATGGAGTATGACTATTACTCCACTGAACTACGTTGTCGCTCTTTGCATATGAGGTAGCAAATGTAACTAACTAATCGACAAGGCAAGAACCGCCAGCAAACTTCTCTTTTTAGTCAGCCCGCGACTTTTTACGGTCACCACCACTTCTCCATTTCCCTCTTAAATTTTCAAATCATCATTGGCAGAAATTTACCGTTGACGTTCACGAAAGTGTAACATAATGCTTCGATAACAGAAAACAGCTTCCTTAGTGAGAATTTACGGTATCAAAATACCGTCACAGATATGAATTATGCTAAAAAAAGTAGTAAATTCTCTTTACCTTAGGTGACAGCAATGGATTTCAATAGTAAGGAGTGTAGCTAGATCTTGCCCAGGATCTTTCCGTCACCCGGAAGCAAATAAAAAGTGACTTTTCGGTAAACAAAAGTTTTCGGTAGGAGTGTCAATTATCACTTGAAAGCTTGAATCTGTGGCTAAACGCGATACGTTGCCGTTTCAAAACATCCTTTCATAATGCCGTAAAAATACGATCTATGTTATGTTTTACACGATCACATGTTATTGTATCTTCATTTCGCTTAGTAACGTCGCTAGAAGAAACTCTTCCTTAGAATGCTAGTAGTGCGTCGATAGCACAGTCTCGAAGAACTCAAAAATATTTCGCTTTATGAAAAAAAACCTTTTTGATAAGCAACACTGTAAAGAGAGAAAACATTTGGTGTAAAACACCTCGTAGAACAGAGCTCTTTCTTTAAATTATTAGCATCACAGGAGCGACTATCTAGTAACTTCGATAGTGGGAATAAACTAGTTTTTTTTTTGGATGAGCAAGTCCGAAGTGTTAATAACAGTACATTATCAACACAGCGACGATTCGCGATGCAGTGTGGATCTAATACAGTGCACTTAATTGCAGTACATACAATACGATTATTCCGTCCAACAAGGCAACGTTCGTCGGTGAGATTTTGCCTTCATCTGAGTTCTCGGAAAAGGTCAGATTTTATCTGCTAGGCGGTACTGCCAGTCGAAACAACGCTCCATAATCTCAGCGCAAGAAAAGACGTCAAGAAACGCGATCTTTGGGATCTGCCTCATTGAAAAGCGTCATTTTAATATACTACACCGTTAAGCTATGTTTTGAGTCGTCCAACGTTATTCATTGAGGATCGCAGCCCCTCAGAGTCAGATGGCATAGGAGAGGCCGTTCCATGACTCAGGCAGAGAAAAATTAGCTGAGATATGGCGCGAAGTCACACTGATTACAGGGCGCTCCTCTTATAAGGCAGTTCCATTTTTGGGCTTCTTCTGTGTAATTACATACAGATCTTTTTGCTTTTAAGATTTCACCTGCGGATGTATTTGATTCACTGTGCGCAGGACTGCAGGCGAACTTGGACTTAGAAATCTGCTCTCTTTGCAAACCTTTTGTATTTTCCCATGGCGTGGTCCTGGCTGGATTTCTGAGTCGGATCGGAATTTCGTTTCCCAGCACGGTGCTCTTTGACTCGGAGGCAGAATGGTCTATCCGTCACACTAATGTATTCTTTCCCGCATGCCTCACAAGTGATCAAACATAAATTGTACCAGATCTCATTCAATCGCAGTCTCTACCGTTTGTGCAAACTTGGCACTCTTTCGTTTGGAGGTGAGGGCGATCATACAGTCGGTTTGCGGACTAGTCTTGACTCTTTTAGTGTCCCTACTACTGCCACAGAATCAACCAAACCTGCTCTTTTTAGGCAGCGTTAAATAGCTGTAGTTACTTCCTTAGAAAAAGTTGAAGACATGAAATGGAGCCCTATTTGCCAACTTTCGTTTCAGGCCGCCGGTTTCTCTCAAACGCTAACCTAGGAGCTCCTAAGCGTGCGGTAAGCTATTTTCCGCGTAAGCTTAGGAATTCCACTGTGTAATGTTCTTTCACTGTGCACACATTGGAGGCCTGTTCGAAGTATGTTTTCACAAGCTCGCGTTTTGCGTGTGACGGATGAGAAGATAGGTAAGAGATGTTTTTGTTGCTTGGTTTGCGCCCGGTACACATCTTGGTGCTAGTAGCTCCCGAACAAGCCTGATCTTCGAACGTTCAAAAGTGAAAGCCAGTTTCATTAGACTCTGACTGACTATTCAACAACTTTAATCATTTGTCCATCTCTTCTTGCACTGAGCAGACGACAATGCAATCATCTATATGTCTACATTAGAATTATGGCCGGAGATTGATCATTGGGGCCTCCATTCAGACACAAAGGTATAACGAGGGTTGAAGCTAGTTGACTGTTCCACTGTCATGTATGCGGCTGATTTCACCTGAGCAAAGTCCAATATCACTAACAGACACATCTAAAAAATGAAAAAATTTAGCAATTTTTCAAGAGAAGCCATGACCTGTGACATGGAGAAGCCATACAAGTTTGTGGAACTTTTGTGCTCCGTCGGAAGCTTGTAGAGGCTTGCATTGCGGTTTCATTCGACATGCCTGTATAAAGAGCGGTGAACGAAAGATGAAAGATCTTTATTACGTACGTGTTGGTTAGAGACGTGTTACGTAAACGGCCCTAAAGAACATTTGTGTATTCATGAGATAGGCTGCAATCTGCTTCTACTAGCTCTCGTACTAGTATTAAGTGGAAATTCTAATATTTTTAGTACTTTTTTTTGTCGCAGTGTTATGATGGCTACAAATATACCTAAGAGAATTGCGCGGTGAGCAAAAAACATGGTTCTTCGCCTGGAATCGAACCCGCGGTTCTATCCTATCCGGGGACGCACGCGCTCTAACAATAAACTACCGGAGCACATTTGCGCGCAGCACTCATTTCTTCAACATCTCTACGTTAGCTGTCAGTCCAGCAACCTTTAACACAGCATTTGATCCGGGGTTATCGAGAGACTTTCGCTTTATAAACCCAATTGACGCTGACAGCCGTTGTTAGATACAATACTTCAGAATTCTTAGCAAATTTTAAACTGTATTTTTTTGCTGTTATGATGCTATCCAAATATAGAGAGAATTGAGCGGTGAGCAAAAAAACACGGCCTCAGGCTGGGCATCGAACCCGCGTTTCGTCCTATCCGGGAGACGCGTGCTTCTACCATTACAATACCGAGGCACATTTGCGCCACCACTCATGTCTTCACAAGATCTCTAAAGGAGAGTATAAGGACGAGACAGGATGGTGGATGCAAGTTTTTAGCTGAAAGATAAGGGAAGGTTTTGAGTCCGAGCTTGCTATTTTCGATCCATTCCTTGTTCAATTTTCGGATATTGTTTTCAGAATTCCAGACCAGATGATGGATCGATCAAGTGTCGATGTCTTCAAAATGTTTTCCCGTTGTGCTCGAGCATAGAACTGCATGAGGAATTACTACAAACTGCTCCTCTCACTCATCTATAACATGATAGTCTGATGGTCACTACGAGTTTTTTTTTAGCTCGCCGTATCTGCTCGCATGCGCTTTTCTCCAAAGAGTGTTGGTTGGAACTAAACTTTTTCGTAGCTGATGGTGGTTGATGTTTAAGAGCTTTGTCCAGGAATTTTGGAACATTAATATTTATCTTGTTATTAGGTCTTGTTGACTAAAGGAGCGTCTCGAGGAAAAAGGTGGTGTTGGTATTCTTCTGACGGAGGCATGGCGGGATGGATACCAAAACACGGCTAAAACACACTCTAACAACCGTGTCCAGTAGCACACCTTGCGGGATTAACGAAACTTCAACAGTATTCCCGCACGCATGGGAAAACAGAAACATGCAGGAGCAAAGCATTCACCGGTTCTTAGCGACATGAATCAAAAAAGCAACGCCGTGAATTTTTGATGCGTGTAGGCACTTTAGAAACACATAGCAAAGGCTGAAAAGTGATTCGCAGAAGAGCGAGTGTCTTGTCTTATCGGCCTGTGTCAGCACAGCCTCACTTAGTGCTTTCACTATAGGCGGTGTGCGTCTCAATAAATAATTGCAAGACCTAATAACATCTTATTTGTGTGTGTTCTAAAATTGAAGCCTTCTAAAATGAAGCCTTTATATGCGATCGAGAGATCTACTGTCGTTTTTTAAGTTTACTGCGCGGGATGTTTAGAGGCTTTTTGGATGAGAGAATCGACAAATCAACATAAGCTATACCGGCGATCTCATAGAAGGCAAGACGCAGACAACTAGCCACTTTATTGTATTATATCGTATTATCTGTACTGTTGCATACCTACTGTACACATGTAATGTACTACATCATAGTGCTCTATAAATCACTGTTGGATAGCACCTCGAAACAAACTAATCAAGATTAAAACTTACTCATGCTACAATGCCATAAACTGGATTTAATTTTTCGAAAAAGTGATGACGTAAGAAGCAAATTCGTCACAATCAGGTGTGCCACTGTTAAAACATAAACTGAAGTTTTAACGCGTATGTCAAAAAGGTGTAAAGGTGCATCAAATTCATGAGCGACTTTACACCACAAAACATGAAATTGTCACAAATAAGGAGACAGACAAATAAAATGCCATCGAAAAGTATCATGATGAAACACTTTTCAATAGGCATCGGGAAAAATTGCTCCATGCGCGCTAACATTGAACTAAAATGAACACAACACAAAACAAATTGATGGAAATCGAAAAGAAATCCACTGAGCGACATATTCAAGCGTACAACTATAATTACGCCAGCACTTGGTCCCTCACATGAAGTGTCTTCCTCCACAAAATCTGTTTCTCTTGCCTTGCAATTACTGGCTTATGTTTGAAAGTACGGGCGAAGGGCACTACAGGAGTTGCTTCCTTTGCTCATATTGCGCGACGTATTACGAAGTGATAGTTCAAGTAGAGCCGCTTATCATCAGGATAGCTGGCAGCAAGGACTATTTCAAGAAGTGTTTCTTGATCCACCTTTAGGGAACTCATATCCAGCTGGAGATGTCATCGGTGCGTTTCTTGCGACAGTCTAAGTCATTAATGCTCGGACTATCGTCTTTGTGATATGTGCACCATTGCAGTAATTTTCGTCATAATAGGACTGGCACGTTACTTATGGAAAGCGGATCATTTGAGTCGGATATCCAAGGTCAAATTCTTGCAGCATGATGCTGATCGTCTTGAGAGGCGTAACACCATCTAGTGGAACGTCCATAAGTTCTCGTCCCTCATCTGTTGGCTAATCTTCACGAACAGTAGACCTTTGTCTGAATTGCGATCGACATGCCTCGTAAGGTCTTGTTTCCCAGTAGGGTCCTAGAATCTGACGTAATCTTAGGAAAATAACGGATTAAACAATCTCACTTGGCAAATGATCCTTAATGCCCTTATCCCTGTTCGCGGGAACCGTGGACGCACGGCCTACTGGGGCATCTCTAATGGTCGATTTCTGGATGGTTCTGGCTGTGGGTCCGCGCGGCATGTCTATAACAACCCGCTCAGTCCTAAATTGTTTTATTTGCAAAAACAGCTGGGCCTATAGTTCTACGCGCCTAGTCATCGGCTATGCCATTGATGTACAACGCAGGGCAGCGGTGGGGGTAATAGAGAGTATGCGCGAGGTGGCGTAGATATCGCCCAGAGTCGCCAGCGCAGGGAGATGTGGAGGCGCGTCGGTCCACGTGTTCGCTAAAGCGGTTTCTGATAATTACACAGCTCGAAGGTTGTACGCTGGTCACGAGAAGTAATCAACTGCTAAGGAAGGACATCGAGACTATGGTTATCGTGTAGGGGCAACGGATATTATGTCCTATCTGAAAATATACTCTATCTGTACGATTATTTAGGTATAGTGTAGTTATGATATATTATAAGCGTATATATTATACTGCTATATATATGCACAGCGTATCTATATATATATTAGGTTACATACATAGGTATCTACGATGCATGTGTTACATATACTATAGTATGATATAATATTATACGCACAGGTGTATCGTAATCTATATTATATATATAATAATAATATATATCTATATATATATAATATATGTGTTATGAAGGAAATTGTATTGACACTATAGATCAGCAATAGGTGCAAGTATAAAGCCAGATTTTTACAAAAAGTATTGCTTGGTGTGCAATTTCTACCATTGCATATTAATATTCCCTCCACATGGATAAGATCTTACGGGTAGCATACCGGTATGACAATGACAGTCGATCAATTTCCCTATAAAATAACCACCTTGCGAAGAATGTCGATTTATCATCGCACCTAGAGTCAAATTTACGATTACGTTGACATGGTGATGAACTGGAGTTGATGAGAGACATAAGCAAAAACCATTGTAAGCATGACAGAATATTAATCGTATGCCCTAAAGGGCAGCACCATTTTGTAAACAACGCTTCGAACATGAGGAAATTCTCTGAGATCATATAATGACACTGGACTGCGTGAAAGTCAAAGTAAAAAGCAAAAAACACCACATCATCCTGAACAATCCTCCTTATGAATCTTTAACGCGAGTCGCAACTCTAAAAATGAACAAGTAATAATTCGGAATGTCAGCACAAAAAAAAAGGATGCGCCTGTGAGTCAGCTAAAAAAAAAAAAAAAAAACGTCTCATTCTCAGATATCATGAGTAACATAAGAATGGCGATTAACATCCGTAACATTTTTTCCATTTCCTTTCATTGGAAAAAGATTGCAACGTACCAGAAGTTAGCTGAGCCTAGCGATTGATGGAGGCACACTTCAGTTAATTGTTCCTCTCTGTAAAGTTGAACTAAGTTTGAATCAAAACGACTGGGCAGACATCGGCATTCATGACGAAATTTCTTGCATCTCTTCAAACAAGATCCCTCGCCGTTTTACTATAATGCTGCCGCTTTTTTTCGGTGTCGCATTGCCATTATTTCCTGAAACAAAAAAATCGCGCGTCGAAAATGTTGGCCTGGAACACAGTTATACGATTACAGGCTGTTTTCAACGTATTTACGTTTTTGCTAGTGGTAGAAAAAAATTCGCTCATTGATTTTGGGAAGAAACACACCAAATTCTTTTGGTTCTATTATTCCTCTCCAGTGCTACATCGACCACAATTCACATAATGCTTCCCATTACCTATCCACAAATATTGCGTCAAACTAAGTGCTGAGATGTATTGATATCGTAACATGACTGCAAGCGAGTGTTTAACGGATTGAACTAATCATAAGAATATGATAGTATTAGATTTCTAGTGGCGATACACTTTGCCTCGCTCATTAAAGCAATCTTCGAGTGGATACTTCACTCGAAAATAAGTTTCGCACAATGTTCTGTCTATGACTTCGCCGTAAGACAAGAATCGCGCAACTCGCGTGGTGTGTGTCTCGCGAACTACTTGTCCGGCGTTGCCACGTTGGCCCTTCAGTTTTATCACTCGTTGCGGCATATCTCAAAATTTGGGGTAATCAAAATCTGGCATCACAAAGCTGCCAAGTTGTTCGCGATGTTTCGACACTTGGCCGGTCACTAGTTAGTAGTCTTAAGATAGAACATTGATCATGAATTTCAACAAAAGTGAGTAGTCTAGCTGGCTATGATTCAGACGCTTTCCTTTCGTCAGTCGAACCACTCAGGCAAATGATAATAATTGTCAGGTAATGAGGTCTATTTATGCTGGTAAAAGCTTAAATGCAACCGAGATGCTACTGAGAAATACTGAATGCTGTGACGGAGGCTAGGCAGCAGTTTAAACATACATGTTCCATAAAGCAAATTACCCATGGTGACATTGATATAGCGGCGTGATGGACTACAACAGCCAATCTCGAGCTACTGCAGAAGCTTCTCGTAAGCTGCATGTGCAGAGAATCGAGGCTGGAAATCAGCGTTATGGACGCCTGCGCCTAATTGCACTGCTTTACTATCTATTGTTAGTGATTATTCGAGGTATGGCCGTAACCTTAACAGAACTCGATTTTCGTCTGAAATGATAGCATTGTTGTAAGGATAGTCGTTGTCCTATCAATGATGTGCAGTATCATTGTCACAAATCCTGTGCAAGTGAAACTTCATATTCTTGAAAAAGAGTAAGACAAAAAAACGTACGGTGTAAAAAACGATTTCTTTACGGTCCTAATGCCTCGCTTGACATATATAACATTTGAAACATATTCTAGGCTAGATTTACTCGG